GGGAGTGCTCTTAGATGAAATATTGTCATGGAAATTTCATATTAAATATATTGAAGGTAAGAATCTCAAAAAATATTGCCATGTTATATCGAACAAAACCTTTTCTTAATAATGAGTTTTTAAAAAGTTTATATTTTCGTTTATTCACAGCTATCTTTCATACTGTAACATTTCCTGGGGTAGCACTAATCACACTAAACTCAAAAAAATTTATAGTAAACAAAAACATGCTTGCAGGATAGTATTTGGGGCAAATATAAAAACACAATGCGAACCTCTCTTACGTCAGCTTGGAGCTTTAAATATTTATAAGCTTAATATTCATCATTTATAATATTATATAAAAACCTAAGTTTTGCTTTAAACATATTATTATTTATGTTTAAAGCAAAACTTAGGTTTTCTCCAGTAACATTTCAATCCTACTTTAATGAAATCTCCCATAAATACCCAACCAAATTTTCAGTGAATAACTTTGTGATTCCCATAAATCTTCTTAAATTAAGTTCGTACCAAATTCAATATCGGGGACCTTTAGTTTGGAAAAAATTTTTTCCAATTTTTAATAAAAAACAAAATTTCGATTTAAACGGGACTTTGCAAAGTCTTAAGAACGATTCAAAACGGTATTTACTTAACATCGATTTCGGTATATTAGATTTTGAATACCTTTTTTGAAAACAGTTTAAAGGTTTAAACTAAATCACTTAAAAATAATTTAAATTTTTAACACTTTCTTTAGCTTTTATTAAAATGGTTTAAAACCATTAGTATAAAAGATAATGAAAATAAAATTGTCTTTTTCGTTCATATTTTTGATGATATTAAATAATCAGCCCAAATACTTATGTTTACATATAATGCTTTTTTTTTTAATTGAACAACGCATTTTTTTGTGTGTTTTTATAACATCCATGATTTTCGGTCGTTTTAACTTTTTTATTTTTAAAATTATTTTGTTGGAAGATTGTTAGCAACAAATTATTTTATTGCTGAAATTTTTGTCTTGTTTTTGTTTTGTATATATACTGTCTTTTTGTCTTTTATCATGTATTGTGCATGTAAATTTTTGTGTGACGGGGCTCGGTGATAAGACAACCTGTCTTCTTCTTGCTCCGGTCAGGATTTTTTTTTACTGTAATTTCTTATTTGTAATATTTATCAACGGCAAAATAAATAAATAATAATAATAATAATAATATATATATATATATATATATATATATATATATATATATATATATATAAATATATATATATATATATATATATATATATATATATATATATATATATATATATATATATATATATATATATATATATATATATATATATATATATATATATATTGGTTACAACCCTCACTCAACTCTTTAACCTAAACACTTTTAAACCTTGACGAACAAGGCCGCTCCGCGCAGAAACTGGTTGATATACATAAAACATAAATATACTTTATATCTCTTCTTCTTTATAAATTGAAAAAAAGTTAATTGCTTTCGAATTTAATTAAAAGTTAAATCAAATTTTGAAACTGTTACCAAAATAAACTGTAAGTCAAATTTCTATTTCAACTTCGGCACCGAAGTCAAAGCCAAAGTCAACTTCGCCTTGTAGTAAACTTTGTAACCTGAGTTTTAACGAATATTTGCCGGTCCTTAGTTGTGGTGCTAAAATAATAAAATATTATATGTTGCGCAAGTCTTTATGGGGTTGATAAACTGACAAAAAAACTACCGAAATAATAGAATTTTCTAATAATGCAAGCCGTTACATGATTGGTATGCGGACAACATTTATTATCTATTTATTTTTTTATTTATATTAACGGAAAATCAAAAAATCAAAAAAATTTTATAACAACTTTCTCTGATGAAAACTATGGCATTAAGCAAAATGAGCGCTGGTTATTTAAATTAAATTTGTTAAGAAAGTAAGCATTACATGATTTCAAAATATGAGGTGACAAAATGTGTATTCAGAATGCCGCAATATCTTTAAAAAAAAATTATTATAAATTTTCAGTTTCGGATACCCAATGGCCACACGACGTTATTTCGACGTTGATTTACAGTTGATTTTTAGTCGCGACGTCGTATAACCAAAAATCAACGTTGTATCAACGTTGAAAAATTTGTTTGAAACTATCAAATAAAATCGACGTTGATTCCACGTTATTTCAACGTCTATATTACGAGTTCAACCGTTCGTAATTGCAATATGAGAACTAAAATACGCATGCGTGACTTAAAAATTTTTTTATTAGCATAACAAATAACAAGTAAAGTTATTTATTAGCCAAATAAAAACAAGTAAAGTCACACATGCTAATAAATTAGGCCATCTGTTGCCTTTTTATAAGGTTTTGAATTTGACAATTTAACAATAATACATGGCTTAACTTGTGATGCATTTAGTAAGGTAAATATTAAATGGATATTTCTTTACGACCGTATTATTTCATGAGTGTGGATTACAAGTAGAGAATACTTGATATATTATATAAATATAAAATATATATTATATATGTTTTTTATATATATATATATATATATATATATATATATATATATATATATATATATATATATATATATATATATATATATATATATATATATATATATATATATATATATATATATATATATATATATACAGGCGCGGATCCAGCATTTTTTGATGTTTGAGATAACTAACTTTCAGACATGGTACAAACCCCAAAAATTTATATGTTTATACTTATGTCAAATAAAAATGATTTGCAAAAAATTGCGACGATTGGAGTCTGGGAACAAAAAAGCCCCAAAATTTTGGCCACACAAACCCCAAACAAGAGAGCAACAAGTTGATAAAATATTTTTTGTACAATTCTCAACTAAATTTATATTCATCGATAAATTCTAAATTTCATACAATAATCTTTTAGTGTTCAAAAGTTATAATTGCACAAAGCTTTAACCCCCCCCTTAATTTGAGGGGGTTACAAATTTTGTAAGGTCATGTTTTTTGAACACTAAGAGATTATTGTATGAAATTTAGAATTTATCGATGAATATAAATTTACTTAAGAATTGTACAAAAAATATTTTATCAACTTGTTGCTCTCTTGTTTGGGGTTTGTGTGGCCAAAATTTTGGGGCTTTTTTGTTCCCAGACTCCAATCGTCGCAATTTTTTGCAAATCATCTTTATTTGACATAAGTATAAACATATAAATTTTTGGAGTTTGTTCCATGTCTTGAATTTAGTTATCTCAAACATCAAAAAATGCTGGATACGCGCCTGATATATATATATATATATATATATATATATATATATATATATATATATATATATATATATATATATATATATATATATATATATATATATGTATATATATATATATATGTATATATATATATATATATATATATATATATATATATATATATATATATATATATATATATGTATATATATGTATATATATATATATATATATATATATATATATATATATATATATATATATATATATATATATACAAATATATACATATATATACATATATATATAAATTATATATATATATATATATATATATATATATATATATATATATATATATATATATTATATATATATACATATATATATATTATATTATAATATATATATGTATATATATAATATATATATACATATATATATATATACATATATATATATATATATATATATATATATATATATATATATATATATATGTATATATATATATATATATATATATATATATATATATATATATATATATATATATATATGTATATATATATGTATATATATATATATGTATATATATATATATATATATATATATATACATACATACATATATATACATATATATATATATATATATATATATATATATATATATATATATATATATATATATATATATATATATATATATATATATATATAATATATATATATATATATATATAAATATATATATATATATATATATATATATATATATATATATATATGTATATATATGTATGTATATATATATATATATATATATATATATATATATATATATATATATATATATATATATATATATATATATATATATATATATATATATATATATATATATATATATAAATAGGGAATAGTTACCTTAATTGAAACAGTTAAGGAATAATTATTTATTAACCTAAGATGGCTTTTTACTAACTAATGAAAAGTTTTATTGTGTTGAATTTGTGTATGAAAATGGATGATGTTTTACAAAATAATGATTTATCAAGCTTTTTTACCAATCCATGTGATTTAAAGAGTTTGAATATTTTTTATATTAAAAAAATTTTATCAAATTTTTAAAGATTTTTCTTGTAAAGTTGTTTAAAAAAGGATTTGTGCTTGCTCCTTTAGTAGGTTGGTAGAAGGATCAACATTAAAATTTAGCAATTTTTAACAATTGTATAATGTATCATAACGTACAGTTTAAAGTTGTATTTTTCTGTTAGCTATTTTACATAAACAAATTTTTAATATATGAGTATTTTTTCTATTATATTTTCTACTATACTTTTCCAGTTGAAAAAGTATAGTTGGGCAAGCAAAATGTTCATTCGAGCTGTTTGGATAAAAAATACAGAGAAATAAAGTGAGAAAATTCGATCGATAATTTTTATGTGCTGGCTATCATCATTAAATGTAATAAATTATTTCAATGAAATTCATAAACCGCATCTAACTAATACAGATTTACGCTGCTCAAAATTAAATGTCATTGAGTTAATGTAATTTTTTTTTATATAAACATTAAGTCATTACTTTTTTTCCTTGTTTTTTTAACATGCTTTCATTCTGTATATGTTGTTTTCAGTGTTTAGATATATTCTTTATTATATATTCTTTATTATATAATGTATTTAAAATCATGAGTTATGTAATAAATTTAAATTTGCCACTACTAGTGATACTCAGATAGAATCAGATTCAGAAAACGGTAACTATTTTAAAAGATACTTAATTCAAGTATTATTAGTTTTATTTTGATATTAATTTTTATAGGAGCCACTACCATGCTTATGCAAGAGAAAACATAATAACCAACATAATAGTAAGCAAGTACCTACTCCTGTGACGCAAAAAAAGAAACAGAAAACAATTTTTATGCATACTCCACATACTGTTGCTCAAGGTATTAATTGTCTGTCTGTAAGTTGATTTAGGAAGAAAAGATTCTGAACATTTTTTTCTATGCTTCAGTGATTTACACATTTTATTGGTTGCTAAATTAGTACATTTTATTTAGTTTATGAATAATGTTTTATTTTATAAATGTTTTGTTCTTGTGTTTCAACCCTTTTAGAAAGTAATTAATGTTTGGTTCTTTTGTCTTTCTGATATATCTTTATTGTTAGAAAGAGATGTTAGTAAAAACTCTTTCCAGTAATTAAAGTAATATCATGACAAATAGTTCTGAAAATTCTATGGATGAACTAGCAGCAGTAATTTAATGATTATGATAACAGTTTAAATGATTCTTGGGTGAGGTCAAAAGTGATGGATTGTTTTAAACCATGACTTTTTGCAGTTTTTTAAATTGTTTTTTAAAAAAGTATTTATTAATAACTTATCCTAAGTTAATCTACTTTTTATAAATGTACTATAAAAATAATGTTGTGTAATTTTTTTCTTAAACCTTTAGGTTAACAAACTTTCTAAAATTGGAGGTAAAACCATTAAGACAAATACAAAAAAATGTGATGCAAAGGTTTGTTAAAAGTAGTTTTATATAATGAATCTTTTAAATCTTTTTATTATAGTTTGTTTTAAACTTGTGTTAAAAATATGTGTAGCATATAGTTTTAAAAGTTTGACGAATTCTAATCAGACATAATATAAATCTTTTTTTTTTATGTCTGATTATAATTTTTTTTGTAACTGTTTTCTCTTACTTTTGTATTTCCTTGAGCTAAAGAACAACCTTAAAATACAAAGGTTGATTTGTAACGCATACTTAACCTTTTTTTTTACTCTATATATACATACGTATATATGTACATAAATAAACATACATATATATGTATTTATATATACATAGATATGCTTTTATGAATATATTATATATATATATATATATATATATATATTATATATATATATATATATATATATATATATATATATATATATATATCCTTATAGTGAAGTCGAAAGAGTCTTTTAATGTAAAAAAAGTCATTTTAATGTAATGTAAATTTAATGTACATTTAATGTAAAAAAAGTCATTTTAATTTCCTTGTCTCTTAAGCTGTATTAGATTGTCGTCGAAATGTCAAAGCAATTAAATTAATGGGGAAGTACATTAAATTTTATTGTTTTTTAAAAAAAATTTTAAAAACCGCAATAATAACTAGAAATTTTTTTTAATTAGTGGGGTTTTTCGTTTTTGTTATATTAAAAAACATTTTTAAAACATGCGTAAATGTTGCTACATCAACTATCTTATAGCCTGCTGCTACATGGGAGTATTTCTACATTGACTATCTTATAGCCTGACTCGCAACGGAGTGCTGCTACATCGACTGATAAATAGCCTGACTCACAACGGAGTGCTGCTACAACAACTGACAAATAGCCTGACTCGCAAGAGAGTGCTGCTACATCGACTGACAAATAGCCTGACTCGCAACGGAGTGCTGCTAATCGACTGACAAATAGCTTGACTCGCAAGGGAGTGCTGCTACATTGACTGACAAATAGCCTGACTCGCAACAGAGTGCTGCTACAACAACTGACAAATAGCCTGACTCGCAAGAGAGTGCTGCTACATCGACTGAGGGTTTGGTTTGGGCAGGCAGTCTTTCATTTAAAAAAAAAAAAAAATTAAGTTTGTAAACTTTTTCTGGTCTGGTTTATTAACGCGCTCTTTAAAACTACAGTTTATGTGAAACTCTTTTTGACTACCATGCAAGAGTATATATATATATATATATATATATATATATATATATATATATATATATATATATATATATATATATATATATATATATATATATATATATATATATATATATATATATATATATATATATATATATATATATATATATATATATATATATATATATATATATATATATATATATATATATATATATATTTAAACAATAATGGTTCAATTTAAAGTTTTTTCTTTTATTTATAAAGTTGTACTTGATAAAAATAAATAAATAAAGTTGAACATTTTGAATATTTATTGATTATTATGATAAATTATATAAAATATATATAAAGTATAAATATTTTGCAAAAACACTTTTATTTGCAATAACTGCTTCATTGCATTGTGGCATGCTTGCAATTTATTTTTTATAGTTTCTGTCAACATTGAATTATTATGCCAGATCTTGATAATCTCTTCCATAAGATCTTGCTTATTAGTAAGATTTTTTTTTTCCAATCTCTTGCTTTACTATTTCCCAAATGTTTTCTATGGGGTTAAGATCATGCGAGTTGTCTGGCTATAGCAATACATAAACTAAGCCATAACAGTTTTTATTGTGTGGCAAGTTGCACCATCTTGCATAAATATAAGATTTTTGACATTATTTTTAATATTTTTAAATTTTTTTTTCAATTTTTGACTTTATTGGCTGAGCATCAATCCCTCTTCTTTTAGCCTTCTACAAATGGTCCGGTCTGACACAACAATTACAGCTTCATGGATAAGCTTAGTGGCTTTTTTCTGTTTTCTAGGCAGATATTTCTGATTATACTGTCCGCTCTTGGTGTTTTCTTGCGTTTAGAAGGTGGTCTCCTTGGACAAAACTCTTCCCCTGTATCAATTCTTTTTCTTACTTGCATTACGGTTTGGTAAGAAACCTTTGCGGTTTGTGCAATTTTTCATTGAGAATAATTTGTATTTTGTCTAAGACATGTTTATCAATTTTTAATGTAACTATATTAATAATAACAATGTATAATGCAGGTTGTTGACCAATGGTTTATAATCAAAATTTAATATGGCTGGCGGTAAAGGTAAAGAGAAGTTTAAAGGAACAAACATTAGGTATTTACTTGTAAGTTAAGTGTAAAATTATATATTTTTTAAAAATCAAAGTTCGTTTTTTTAATGCTATTTTATTTTTAACTTTTTGATGTATTTGATGCAAATTACTCAGGCAATACCTTTTTGTATAGAGAGAGTTTTGTCAATTAAATTGACTGCTACAGTTGCCAAAAAAAGAAAAGGAATAATGACTTTATTAAAATACGCACTCGACAGATCAAATGGTGGTGGTCGGCGCGTAAAAGGCGATTCACCCGATGTATAACATTCATACTTTTTCCTAGTTGTTCTGGAACTATTGATAATAGTTATTATTGATAAATTGATAAATATATTTCTGATAAATAAAACTTTTTTTTTCAAACATTTTATTTTATTTGTATTGTATGTCAAGTCCGTTGAAGCAATTTAGTTGTATCTGATTAATTTACGTGAAATATAATATCCTCTGCGCAAATTATTGCTTTTTTATTGTGTTATTTTATTGCAGTTAAAGTTGAGATAATTTTTTAGTTAATTGGATTTAACCAAAATAAAAAACAAAAATCAACGTTGAATTTACGTTGTTTCAACGTTGTTCTAACGTCTTATCAACTACGTATCAATCGAATATATCACCTATTCAAAGTTGAAATATGGTTGATATGTAGTCGATAAGACGTTAGATCAACGTTGAAACGACGTAATCATCGACGTTGTTTCAACGTCGTAGTTTTCGACGTCGGATTTTATTTCCAATTCAACCAAATTTCAACGTTGTTTCAACGTGGCATATGGTCGGTTTGCGACGTTGTTTCAACGTTATTTCAACGTCATTGTGCCTGCTGGGCAGCTATATATTTTTTATTTACATTATGTTTCTCTACATTTAGTTCATAAACTTTGCATTAATCTTTAACGCCATATCAAAAAGGGTGTGGAGTAAGGATGTGACTTTTTGGTAACTTGTTGATGCCTCCAGTTTTCAATATAAAAAACAGATAAACTTTGGTTTGAAAGTAACTGAAAAGTCATTGGTATTATTTAATTTTTGAAAAGGTTATCATGACCCTTGATTACACACTGGCTCCCATATACCAGTGAATTTTTTTATTACCCTGGGTCTCAAAAAAAAAAAGAACCAGAATTTTAAAGTGATTTCAAAATTTATAATCTTTTCTACTGAAACATTATTATATCAAAAAAAATACATTGCAAGCAAAATGTCATAAAAAACGACCTTTTCAATATTTAGTTGAATATTGTTGTTTTTTGTATATAAAATTCAGAAAATTCATTTTTATTTGAAACCATTATTATTTTTGAAACCTCTTTGAAATTCCGGCTCTTTTGAGACCCAGGTTGATATACTTTTGAAGAATGAAAAAATCACTGATATGAGGGCGCCAGTGTGTAATCAAAGGTCATAGTAAGTATGAAATAGTGACTATGACTCTTGATTACACACTGGCTCCCATATATCATAGTGCAAAAGCTTTATATAGTTAAAAGTTATGCGCTAAAGTCATGTTTATATGTTTAAAAACACAGTAAAAGTTATATTCAAAAGAACTGTCCATTGCGTGTCATGCATTATTACGTAATAATTAAGTAATGATCTTTGTGAGTAATAGATTGATTAGCAAAACTAATAATTGATTAGCAAAACTAATAATTGATTAGCAAAACTAGTAATTGATTAGCAAAACTAATAAAAACAAGTTATATTATTTATAGAAAACCCGTTGCTTTAAAATTTAAACTTTTAAACTTTTTAACCAAAGTGAATAATTCGCGAAAGTCTGTTCACACTCTTGATGACTTGAACATTAACTTATTATAACATATACCAAACAAAAATGTCAAACATTTCTTCAAATCTTCTCTCCAAAATGACTTAATTCCAACAGTAAACATTTTCTTTTTGTAGTAATGAATATTTATAAGGTCAATATCAAAAATTTTTATAGCTGGAAAGCTCAAACACTTACATTAACTTTGACTTCTTAAAATAACCAAACTTTATTATGATAACACTTCTCGACGTGTAAAATTCACTAACCAGTTATGCAACCAATTTACGGTCAATGTCCGGTTGCAATTTTTTATAATCAGAGAAAAATTAATTGACAACGATAACTTATATGATCTTGCTACCATCGGCGGATAATTTAGTATCGTTATAGTGTGGTAAGTCATTAATGAACAATACAAATAACAGTGATGCAATTACTGATCCTCCAGGGGCGCCACTTGCTACTCTTTTCCACTTGCGAGTTTATTCTCTATTTACTACTCATTGTTGTCTATTAGCTAGCCAACCAGTAATCTAGTTTAATTTCTGCCTTGTAGGCACGGGACCTTAAAAAAGACTTCTTATATTACCAAGGAACTATAGTTCCTTGGTAATATAAATAAAACAAAGTTATTAGCTATGTAAACCACCAAGTAAATTTATTTGAATTTCATCAATAGAAACAACTTTTTTACTTTTTGTATTAAAATCATGTCTTTTGTTTTCTCGTGCCCCTATTATTATGGCGCGAAGAAGCACGTACGCTCTTTTTTCCCCTTCCTCTCAGCGTCCCTGGAAACAGAAAACTTGTACACAATGCGCTATTCTGTAGTGTTCCATAGTATTAGGCTTGGAGTTTCTTTACTTTTCTTGGGGTTCCTTAAATACCATTAAAAAAATCC